TGGCGCACGATTGTTTGTAATGAAAAACAAATTTAGTTTAGGGGGGGGAAATTATGGAAGCTCAGACTAAAAGGATAACACAGTTAGCCGACTTAGCAAGGATGTAAATACTCTGACCTTACGATTGTATACCCAGTGAGCTATTTGGGACAGGGCCTATTTGTCCAATGGACTATATCAGCATGTATTATTCTGTAAATCAAGTCATGTATCTAGGGAGCAAAATATTTTCCAGCTCAATAGCTGAAGCATAACAGCGGTGTGAATGTGATTCATGAAGCAGGTGCGCTAGCGTACGTTTGCTAACAGGGGATCTGAACTCGACGCCTCAGTGTGTACAGCATCTGTTCAATCCCATAAAGCCACAGTTCTTCAGCACTGATCTTTAATGGCACAGTGAGTTTGTCTACAGTGGATGTAGAGCATATATGTCGTGAATGAATGTGCTGGAGGAGACGCATCCTGCCAGAAGCTGTTAAGCAGCAACAGGACTCAGTATGGAGCTGATGTTGAACTCATCTCCTGCTCTCTCCTGTAATGAGGGCAGCGCATTAACAAGCACTAATTGGATGCATTTTTACTGGCTCTTCTCAACCCTGAAGGTCAGAGACAGAGGAAGAGAGGAGACTGTGGGCTGTGTGTTGCAGGAGGCAGAGAGAGAGAGAGAGAGAGCGAGAGAGAGAGAATAGAAGGTAAGCTGTGTATCAGCTGTGATTCATTTGTTAGGTAGGCCTATTCCTCTTTCTTTTTCAACTGAAATAACTTTTTACAAAAAAAAGTTTTTAAAGCTCTTGAACTCTAATAATGACTAAATGGACCGAGATCTTTGGAAAGGAGCTGCAGTTCTGCTTTGTCCTTGGACGATTCTCTGCACAATGGTGTTGTATGGATATGTGCACACTGCCCTCTAGTGACATACAAACACTGGCAGCCCAGTGGATGTCACATATTCTGGAACGAAAAATATTCAAATAAAATATAAATATAATTTTAAATATTAATATTCTGATATTATTTAATCAGAAATATTCAATTCAATAATATATGAGGATTTTTTATATATTTTTGTATATACAGTATATATACACTAGGGCTGTCAGTCGATTAAAATGTTTAATCTAATTATTAATCTAATGTTTAATCTAATTAATTACATGATGTTTCGATTAATTAATCTAATTAATCACAATTAATCGCAACATAAATTTGACTATGAAAATACCCACAAAAGATTATTTAAAGATATGTTTGTGTTAAATGAGAAAGTATCAAGTAGACATTACAAATTGTAGCTTTAGAAATATTTATTTGATTCAACAAAAAAATGTATTACACATAAACATTTAGGCTACTACAACAATTTAGGCTAACATAAACTATGGAACATAATCAAGAAATTATTATTATTAATTTAATTATACTCTAAATAAGAAACTAAATCTGCCAGCAGGTGGCAGTAAATGTCTTCAGTCGATTCGTTCAAACGGCTGACTCATTCAGGAATTCAGTAAACGGCTCTACATGACTTGAATTGGCCTTTGAATTGGTTCACACAATTCGTTCAAAACTTGGATTCATTTAGAAACTAAACACCGCTGTGTTCCTCGGAGACGCGCAATAGTTCTGCTGTGGCTTTATAGGTAATATATTCTTTGCAAAATTGAGCAAAAACACATAATATTGTGTTTAAAATGTAACACAATATCAACTTCTTATTTACTGAACTGTTGTATAAAATCACATTTAAACTCGTGATAGGGACAAAATCAGCACTAGTGTAATAGCCTACTGCTCTCCCTGCTCGTATGATATAAATATGAGACAAAAACACATACAGGGGCATTTTTGCCCCAATATCTTGAATTTTAGGGCATAACTGTATTTATAGAGTTGTTGCCCTGCATCATATTTGTCAACAGTCAACTGTATGAAATGTAATATGATGTACAGGTTTGGGGGCGGGGCCAGTGCGTTAAAATATTTTAATCGCGTTATTTTTTTATAACTAATTAATTAAGTTAATGCGTTAAAACTGACAGCCCTAATATACACATATGTGAGGGATATGTGTTGATAATTTATACAGAAAACTTTGTTTGCTTGAGTGTTTATGAGAGAGCAATATACAATAGACTAAAAATTAATAAATAAATAAATTCATACATTCAACCAAATAATTAAAGACTAAAAATTAATAAACAAATAAATAAATAAATTCATACATTCAACCAGATAATTAAAGAACTGCAAAAAATGAAATTATCCCGTTCAATTTCAATAATAATGAAACTAACATGCTCATGCATATTAGAGAGGACATGCTTTATTTCACAGAACATAGGCCTATTGGCTTTCTATTTGTCATGACTCAAGATAGGTATTCACAATCATTCCGTTTATGTTCTCTCCAACTGGCTTCGCACAGCAGCCAGAAGGGCTGGAAGTGTTTTTCTTTTTCATAAGCATGAAGCCAATTTCATTTGAAACTTGACATCAGTCCACCTGTCATCAATGTTTTATACTGCAACCACCAGAGGGCAATCTAGTTTAAGCAATACTATAGAACAGGTGCTGTCTGTATTTCTCGGCTGTCAATTTAAAGAAATCCTTTACAATAGATCAGAAATTCCTCTCCTGAAATATAATTCTCACACACACACACACATATATATATATATATACATACATATATTTAAACGTGCCAGTGAAAAGCATCCAGCAGGACAGGTATCCAACGTGAGAACTACCTTCATACTGCACTATTTACATAGACAACTTTAGAAATATTATAAGTTGAAAAAACATTTGTTGTTAAATATATTCTCAACTGTATTCCATATTATATTTAAATCTAGGTTTTTTTGTGTGTGTGCGTGTTCTAAATTTGTATGTAACTTAAGATTCTTTTCACCATACCAATAAAAATATTTGAATCTGATTCTGACTGGAATATCATCAGAAATTAACAACTAGAGCTGGGTAGATTACTTAAAAATTGTATTCCATTACTGATTACAGATTACATGATGAAAACTGTAGTTAGTAATCTAGGTTACTCATTTTAGGTTATGTAATCTGACTACTTTTTTATCAAACTTGTTTTAAACGTACCATATTGATATAAAAAAAAAAAAAAGCAAACAGAATGAAAATATTTTCCATGTTTTGATGTCAACATCATAAGAGTCGATAGAGAGTGAATGGTGAATACGGAGCTGATAAAAACCAAAAAATTCATGAAATCATACAAATTTAAAATAAAAGCAGTTTAAACACTTGAACACTATTAATATAAATATTGTATTTGTTTACTTGCATGTTATTGTTGTCATTAACCAACATCGGAGAACTGTAAACATGCAAATATGTTGTTAAATTATTGAAATATTATCTTCTTTATGATATTTCAACAAATATTTTAAGAGGTGACATTTGGGAAGCCCTGCATTAAACACACATTTATAAACATGAAAACAACGACACGCCCAAAGTCTTTCAGGTGTGAAAATCTTTTGTACAGACATCCACAACCAATAAATTATGAATAATTTACGGCCACTGTATGAATAAGAATATGTAATCAATAAAACATTTACTATAATCTGATTATAAGCATTTTAAATTATAATATACTCTTAATTACAAGCACAACATTTTTGGAATTTGATTATGTGATACAGATGACATGTAATCAGTTACTACCCAGCACTACTAACAATTAATTTTTTTCTTTGCCATCATACAGCTTTTGTTGGTTTTTATTTATTTTTCTTTTCTTTTTTTAAGAGCTTGACACCTCCTTGTTACCGTATACTTGATTAAATATTCACCAAATAAAAAAAACCCTCAAAAGAAACATAGGACAAGGAAAAGCAAAAGACAGCGGAAGCATAGTGGAATCATGGTATTTAAGAGTCGTATTTACAAAAGGCAGTACAACACAGATTATGACCACAACTAATCTTATTTACATTTACCTTTTAAAAGTTAATGGGAATGAAACTATAGCACATATTAAAAGCAAAATCCACATGGTTATAATACAAAAATAAAATGGGAAAGAATACGAGTAAACAATGCTGATAGTCTGAAGTGATATTACAAATGCAGTGTGCTGTACAGAACTGGAGACGGGGCGTTCACTTTGTTCCACACAGAGTTGTGAGACGATTCTGCATTGGGGGAAAAACAAAAAACGTTATTTTAATTTCTTCCGATTTAGAAGGTGGTATCACTATAAAAACTGTTTAGAAGTTCCATTAAAAATTAACACAGCAACCACTGATCTATATTATATAATGTTCTCTAAATCTTATTTACATTTACCTTTTAAAAGTTAATGGGAATGAAACTATAGCACATATTAAAAGCAAAATCCACACGGTTATAATACAAAAAATGAATGGGAAAGAATACGAGTAAACAATGCTGATAGTCTGAAGTGATATTACAAATGCAGTGTGCTGTACAGAACTGGAGACGGGGCGTTCACTTTGTTCCACACAGAGTTGTGAGACGATTCTGCATTGGGGGAAAAACAAAAAACTTTATTTTAATTTCTTCCGATTTAGAAGGTGGTATCACTATAAAAACTGTTTAGAAGTTCCATTCAAAATTAACACCGACTCCCAGAACAAACCATTGGGATTCTGTGAGGGAACACTGTTAGGACAAAATCGGTGTGTTTAATATTAGCGGATTGTACACTTTGTTTACCTTTGGATGGTGTTGCTCTGTTTGCTGATGGAGAGAGCTCTGGCCTTCTTTGAGGTAGAAGGTGCCTTCTTTGATGCTTTCTTCTACATTAGACATATTAAGAAGAGAAAGGGAGTCAGGCTCCTGTACACACATAAACGGGCCAGATTTTCTCAAGGACCCTTCAAAGACTAGTATTACCAACCATTTTCTTTAACATAATTGTAGCTACCATTGGGATTCTGTGAGGGAACACTGTTAGGACAAAATCGGTGTGTTTAATATTAGCGGATTGTACACTTTGTTTACCTTTGGATGGTGTTGCTCTGTTTGCTGATGGAGAGAGCTCTGGCCTTCTTTGAGGTAGAAGGTGCCTTCTTTGATGCTTTCTTCTACATTAGACATATTAAGGAGAGAAAGGGAGTCAGGCTCCTGTACACACATAAACGGGCCAGATTTTCTCAAGGACCCTTAAAAGACTAGTATTACCAACCATTTTCTTTAACATAAATAATTGTAGCTCAAACAGTAGAATATGGCACTAGCAACATAAAGGTTATGCATGGAAAATACATGAACTGATACAATGTATACCGCAAATGCAATGCGAGTTGCTGTGGATAAAAGCTTCCACCAAATGCATAAATGTAAAAGTCAAAGTAAACGTGAACTAGACTGCCTTCAAAATTTCCTACTTGGCTGTTTTAAAAATGGTAATCCAGATTTTAGATGGAATATAAACATTTAATTTATTTCTTGAGGCTCAAAGAGTTTTTCTCCTGCTAGATAGTGACAACACGGCAATCACATGTGCTCATCTTTGTCAATACATTAACTTCAACATGATTTGAATGCCCTACTAAGTAGATTTCAAAGACCATACTACCACAAACCTTTTTGACAGCAGACTTAAGGGGTGCCACGTTTTCATCTTCTGAGTTTGCACCATTCTTGGCTTCTGTAAATGAGATGAAAGTTGGAAGGTCAGCTTTGAAAATACAAGTAAGAAGGTTTTACAAGCTGACAAGAGGATGCAAAATGTACCTTTGGCAGCAAACTTGGGAATCACATGATTCTCAGCAATAGCAAGCTCCACTTGAGCAGCTTCCTCCCTCACCTGATCAGAGAGAGAACACTTTAATTCAAGACCAACAGTGATTGATTTAACAATACTGATTAGTTTACAACATGTAAAACATATGGACAAACAAACATGTTTAATGCAAGTACCTTTGAATCATCCACTGGTGACTTTGGCTTCTCTACATCTGAAGTTTAAAATAAGAACCGTGAGACAATACCAAAGTATGTGCGATATTTATTCCTTCCTATGCTATTCTACACCATATTAACAGAGGCTACATGGACTATTTGTCAAAAACAGAGCAACTGACATATGATCACATGTACAACAAAGAGGAATATCCTTACTGCAGAACTCGATCCAGTTCATTTTCCTCACTGCCATGGGAAGCTTTATCAGAGCGGTCTTGTAAAGGTTGTCTGCATCTTTCAGAAGATTGTTCGACTTCTCCTTCAGTCTTTCAACAATGGTATGAACTACAAACAAAGAGTAAAGTGTTTAAAGCGTGGACACAAATACTTAGTATTGAGACACTAGCGACAAATCTTACCTTCATTGTCAAAATCTAGCAGAAAAGCTTCCAGTTTCGGTGTTTTGGAATTCTTCTTGTTTTTAGCATTCTGTGTGCGTTTTCTCGGTGCCATGATGAACCTGAAAAACAAAGACGATACATTTCTTCAACCCCATGGCGATTACGCTCATATATATTAGTACTATGTACATATCTAGTTAATTTAAAAAAAACGCATTTATATTTTTCTTACTCTAATAACCCGGTCTATGTCGAAAATGTGTCTCTCACTGTAGCATACATCGGCAGTTAAGAAGAACCTTTTCAAATTTAACGCTACTACGTCAGTAAGCCAATCAGCATGCAGCTTTGACCGTCGCTTTGTAAACATGCTTCGTGCTCTGACCAATAAGATATCGCCTCTCCTAAACGAAGAGTCTGGCCAATGGTTGAGTGTTTTACTGTCACGGCTAAAGAAAGAAACAAGCGGATTGGTGGATGATGCATGTTCCCGGAAGGAGCGCATCGCAGTTATCACATGTACTTTTACGATGGAAACAGGACGATTTTATTCGCTCTCACAGATGTGATTTGTAGTTTATCAGATACATTTAAATATTTGCGGAGTATCTATATATAATAGATATATTTAATATATTAGTTAGTTATATGAATCCTCTGTAAAAGAACGTCGTTCACAGTGTTTCTCGAGTTCTGTCACTGAAAATGATTTTTTTTTTAAATGTCCAGTGCTGTTTTATTATCATTGCACCAACAACTCAAAAAATGCTTTGAGACGCTAAAAGCGAATAAAAGCGTTTGGGACTGAACTAGCTGAATGTAAACCTCTCATGAGCTCTCTTGGAAACTTTGCAGTGCAGTTGAAGGCACTGAAAAACGTTCAGATTGCAAACACACCTCTTGCCAATTTCCCTAGTTTACAAGAGCGCCTTCATTACAAACTGGCTGTGGATTCAGTTCTGGGAAAACTAGCTGAGAAAATGTAAGTCCTGTTTGATTGTCATTTTAATGCACATAAAAACAATGCTTCGTTTGGTTTCATCTTCATATTTCCAGGGATGCTCTTCAGAGGGTGCGGGATGCCATCAGTCAACAGGTGTCTGCTGTTTTCCAGTTCTATGAGAAGAACACAGACAATCTTGACATTGCTGGTTGTGTCTCCAGATCAGACATCTGTCCCTCCATCTCAGATATGTTAGAGTGGCTTCAAGATGCAGATCGCTATTACCGCCTACAGTATCCTTTAAGTCTCATTCCTCATCATGACCACTGTTGGCATCAATGTGATACTTCATCTCTCTCTGTGTTAGGTACATGCATTATTTTGCAATGAATCCTAAATTCATCTGGTCAGATTAGTGCAGAGAAGGAACCTCCTGCAGACGCTGACACCCAGTGACCTTACGTTAATGGAAACGGCACCAAAGAGATGGGAATCTCTACATTCAGCTAGTGGAGAGGAGAGAATTGCAGGTATTTCCCCTTTTCCTAGAGTAGATAAGGTTGCACTCTTTGGCCCCATTTTCATCTGGTATTAATGTCTGTCTTGGGTGATCTGATTACAAGTGGTTGGATCTAAAAACACGTGTAAACAGCGGTCCAGAACATTTTGTGATGCTCCCTTCTTATCACAAGTGGCCATTAAAAAAAAACACATTTAATATGTTGATACCAGGTGTAAACAGAGAATTTGATACGGTGTAATAGTTTGGCTGCATCTGTTAATCATAGATTCTGTTTGTTGTGTGACATTTTATAAGAATCATAAATTAGAATGCATTTACATGTAATGTATACAATAGTAAAATTAGAGAATTTGGTCTCTAAATATATATTTTGTGTTTATTCATGTTTTAGATGTATTGTGTCAAGTTTCATTCTTCATGGAGACTGAATGAATGTCAGATATTTTATCAAATCATTTCCACATCCTGTGTTGGCTGTTGTTCTCAGTTTGGCAATGAAGGATCCTTAAAAAAGGACAGCGGTATAGTAATGGTGGAACTCAAGACTCCTGGATTAATTTTGTTTTGCTGTGGGCATTAACTTGTCAAAGACTGAATATCAGCATCATTGTAAGAGCAGTGTTCTGTTTTAATAAATGTGGTTATTTAATTTATGCTTTCTTATGATAAAACAATTGCACTGTTGTCATTGAATGTCACATCACACTTCGTTTTTATTTTTTCCTCAAATGGCTTAAGTTCACATCATTTTAATAAATAAATATAGAGAAAACACAATGAACACAGCAATCCAACATACTAAAAGTGGGTGTACTGTTTCTAAGGACAACAGTGGTGTGCTGTCAGTTGTCTACAAAACACAAGATAGATTACCATTTACAAAAAAAGAAAGGAAAAAGACACTGCAAAATGGGCCGAAGAGTTCAGTTAGCCCACAGTTAATACTATTGAAAAAAAAAAAAAAAAAAAAATCTTGTCAAAATACGATCAAAACTAATCTAAATGCCTTCTTATGAGAAAATACACTAATAAGTAAAGAGAGTGACAAGTAGCAAGGGAAAGGAAATGTTTTTGAAAATCGTAGACCCACTGCAATACTACTACAAATATTACTACTCATACACTATGCTTCAAATTCTAGATACTAGACTGTCTTTAATTAAAGGTGCACTCAATAATTTTTTCCACATTAAAATCCTTACCCCTGAAGAAATGAATAATACTTATGACAAGCTGAGATCACATGGCCAGCTGTGTTTTACAATTCAGTTCAGTTAAAGCTGAAGCGTGTCAGTGTTTGTGGTGAATCTATCTGTTTTTCAGTGTTAGTGCCAATCATAATTTTTTTCAATTCCGTTTTTGCTAGTGGTGCAGAAATTACATACTTTAAAGGTCAAATGTGTAATTTCTGCTCCGCCAGTGTTACCAAACAGAAATGGACAGAAAAAAAAAGAGTTTTCAAATACTCCTGTTTACCACTGACAAACTAATAGTTCCACTCCAAACTCACAGCACTGGTTGTGCCAATGTTCCACTGAAAAAATAGCAGATTGCAATTCCATTTTGGTGCCACTAGTGGTGCTTTACATACATAAACAAAAACATACCTAAACAAAAGCAAACCAAACAATATAACAATAAATACAATGTATATTACAGACAATATAACGAAGGAGCTGGAGTGAACAGCACCAACATGTGTACGATGTATAAGCAATGAAAGAAAAAGCAGATAAATGGGATTTCAAATGGCAAATATGGACATGATCATCAGAGTGACAATGACACAAAATGCATCTGTCCATTGAAACAGAAATCACTGAGTGCACCTTTAATCATTATCCCTGTTTAGCCACACCTTCCCGCATTTGCTTTCATTTTTATCTTTATCATACATACTCCTTAAGAGGCAGGGCACTGGTTGTGATTGGCTTCGGTGGATCAGGAGCAGAAGGCCTTGAGTTTGCAAAACTTCGGCCTATGTATCCACGTCTGTACCCTCCTCTCTCGATGTGCGGGCAGGTACTGCTCAGCACCGCCCCACTGATCATAAGAATCACTGCTGCCGCCCATCCCAGGTAAATGGCCTGACCCAGCTCCCGCTTGTGCTGGAGGGGAACATTGGGGTTGTAGAAGTCCTGCACCACAGTGTTTGCCGTCCAGGAAACCGGCACTAGGACGCACAGGCCCGTCAGGATGAAGAGCACCCCACCGGACAGCGCTATGCCAGCCTTGGCATGGCGATCGTCCCCGGCACAGGTGGTACACTTCATTCCACAGCAAGAGACGGTGCAGGACAACCAGCCCAAGAAGATAGCAATACACATCAGCGCCCGTGCCGCCTGGATATCAGGCGGTAGAGCTAGCATGGAGTCGTAGGTCTTACACTGCATATGGCCGGTGGTCTGGTAGATGCAGTTCATCCAGATCCCCTGCCAAACAATTTCGGAGGTCAAGATGTTGCTGCCTATGAAGGCCGTGACCTTCCACTGGGGCAGTGCAGTCACTGCTATAGCCATCACCCAGCCCGTCACAGCACAGGTGAAGCTGATCAGCTGCATACCTGTGTTCACCATCTCGCCACCCTCTGAGTACCACGCCTCCTCGGGCCACAACCTCGACGACACTTTTCCGCTTGCAGGTGCTCCAACTATAGATAATAGCTTCAGCCCTCCTTGCCCAAAGAGGTCGGCACGTTTGCCAATCCTCAGCAAGAAGTTTCGGTCAGTCCTTCTTTGAAAGTTACTTGCTAGGGTTTTGTCTTTCAAATTTCTTGAAGCAAAGTTTTGTTCAGATGCATTTTAGTCTGTCTTCTCCTCTTGTTAAGTTTGTCAGTCCTCGTGTCCACCTTTAAAGTTCCTTGCTGGACCTCTCGGTGTGTCTTTAAATTCTCGGAGCAAAGTTTTGTTCTAGTCTGTTATTTGGTCCCAATCCTCCGCAAGAAGTCTCGGTCAGTCCTTCTTAAAAAGATCCTTGCCAGACTTCTCAGATTTGTCTTTCAAAATTCTTGGAACCAAGTTTTGTTCAGCCACGTTCTAGTCCGTCTTTTGGTTTCTCAGACAGTTGTGTTCACTTTCGCCTGGTCTTTCTTTGAAGAGATGAATAATTGAAGAACTGCTGCCACTTGTCTCAACTCACCCACTTGGGATTGATTGAACTTCAATGAGAGTCCCACCATCACAGGCTACGTCCGGAGGGTAGAAGTTGGTCTCGCACCACTGTAATGTGTGGTGGACTTCTTGTCTTCTCGGTAAAGAAAGATCTGCTCTTATCGCAGGGACATGTGTCTCTGTTGCTACCCAGTCCGGTGTTGCCTTACCCAAACAGGTCACACCGATTGAATTTGATACTGTGACATGGATGCAGTGGCTGTCAAAGATGCATTACTTCCAAGCACCCAATAAACGTCAAACAGAACCTAAACTAGTGTCTGAATGATGGCAAAGGCCCTCGTAAATTATCCAACAGTTTCGTGTGAAGTAAAAAGAAAGGTTCTTCAGATGTGACACCTGTGCGAATAAATGCCAAAAGTAAACACGTTGTCCTCTTTTAAGCTCTTTAGGTTAGATGTTCTTGTCGTATCGAGAGCAGACACAAAAAAGGGTGCTGTGCTTCAGGCCACTTAGGCAAAGACAAAAGCAATGTCCTCTTCCCTGCAACAAAACCTTCACGGGTTGGTTGGTTTCTGTCAGAGTGCTGATCGCTTATTGGGCGGCCCGATAACCCTTACAGGTGTTTCAAGTGTGCTAGTCTCGTCCATCTTTAGAAACACTGTTGAGCAAAGCCACTCTCATCCTGAAAGGAAAACAGCGGATGGCAGGATATAAAGGCAGATGGAGTGAGACAGAGGAGGGAGGGCAAGAGTGGTGTCTGCTAGCGGATCAATTAACACAAAGACAATCTAGGGGCCGTCAACAATATGCTTCAAAGCGTTCAGTGCTTTTGAAGGGCCGATACAAAAGAGTGTTTGCCATTCCCCTAATGAGACAAAGAAATTGCTTTAAAAGAGTGGGCTTGTGAGGATGTTTGCTGTTGTGGGCATTTCTGAGGGCGACTGTGATGACTAACACCAAAATCCTCACGCTTTGAAACAGTATGCCAGTCCATTTTTTGTGATGGAGAACATCAGTAATGTACGTCATCTCAAAAACACTCTCAGTGTAACAACATTTTAGGCAGAAGTGTGAATTTACATGGCTGTCAAGTTGTAAAGGGATATTTTACAAAAGTACAAATGATCCCATTACAGTAATATAAGGTTACATTGCGAGGTGATTAAAGATGAATTGAGAGTGTTGTTGTAATTTTTTTTTTTTTGGTCTATATACACTGTAACTTACATTTTATAATAATTATTTGATAAAGGGACTACTACTACTAAGTTGTTTCCAAAGGCTTTGTTTTTTGTGTCATTTTGCCCGGTTCCTTTGTTTCATTCTGCTCCATAACATGCAAACGTTAGCGTCTGAGGTGATTAATTAAATATTACGGCTACAAGATCTCTGGTTTAGGTTTCCTTTCTCTTGTGGCTGCCTCTCCTTGGCAACAGTAGTCATGACAACAGCACAGGACACAGGAAATGAGAGAGTGGGTACACAAAAGAGAGAGCAGATGAATGACTGATGGCCCACAATGAAGCTCAAGTAGAATTCATACAAGAATGCAGCTTTTAAAAAGGCAAACTGGATAATAAAGAAATGTGAACACCGTAATATCAACAGCTGATCTTTAAGTATCCATAAATATACACTTCCCAAATATAAATAAAGAGAGAAAAGGGGTGGGGTGGGGTGGGGGATCCTCATTTCAAGCTTAATAAATTACTATTTTCTGTGAAAAAAAAAAAAACTGTTGTTTGAAGTGGAACGTCCAAGCTGCACTTTACCATATAAAAATCAATAGTGACCAAAGCTGCCAAGCAAGATTTTCTGGGAATTTAAATGTTGGTCTGTTCCATTAATACATAAATATATGAAATACATTCATAAACATTTAGCAAGGAAAACTATATAAGCTGGATAGTGCTGCATCACAACAGTGAGTGGTTTACCTTGTAGATCCAAGTAGGTGTTGCCATCTAGTGGTTTTAAATTGAATCTATTTTTAGAAAACAAAAAAAAATATAGGATTGAAAATCATTAATATCTGTACAATAAAATTTACAAAAATCAGACCTTTTAAGGTTTCCTTTCCTGAACCTCAATAATGACAGAAGACAGAGGTGTGTGTTATAGGCATAAAATACCAATTTATTACTTTGGTCAAAGCAATACCGCAACTGATGGGGCACTCAAGATAGGAGAAGCTACAGGAGTCCTGAGCGTTCCCCAGCAGGTCAAAGAAAGTGCCCCTATTGCTATTGGACAAGTCACACAGCTCAGAACACGAGAATAGAACAGCACAAAAAAGCTACACACCAGTAAGAGAAACAAAAACTTAAATTACAATACACATTTTTCAAATAACAAAGCCATATATATCAAATAGGAATTAAAAAAAAAAATCATGCTCTCGTTAAATCGGGACAGAACGGTTTAAAAAAAAAAGCTAAGAGGTAATCCTTGTGCAGTGGACCCTCGGGGCCCACCACATGCAGAGAGGAAGTGCATGTGTGGAGGTGCCACCAGGGCGGCGCCACAGCACTGGAGAGCCCGAGAGCAGAGAGGGAACAAGACAGTGGGTAAAGGGGCTCCTCATCGGCATGAGGACAGAAAGAAAGGGTGAGGAAGTCAGTCTAAGTGGCCCAGTGATTGAAGAAAGTACCTCGTTTGGGTTGGAGCTCCCAAAGACTGACATCCGCACCCCTTCAGTCCCCCGAATCTGTCCCTCATCAGTTACTGACATTTCTGGAGAAATTTTTAAAATCCTGTAAAAGAGACCGGACAACATCGCTACTCAAAACAGTCTCACTGTATTGATTTACTCATAAAAAAACTTCTGCGCCATAATAAATATTTTATAAGAGATTAGAACAATACTCTGGCATGCAGGCGAGCACAGTTTAAATTTGAAAATTTTCCACATAGCCTAAAGAGCTAGTCCACCATATGCACATTCCCACTGATTGATACAAGCAAAATAAGTACATGAACACAAATGGCGATAGGAATCCAACCAACAGCCACATCGACAAAAAAGTATTACAGCTTTTAAATTGTTCTAGATTTTGGGTTATATTGCTTTGCAATGATATCATAATACAAACTGGAATTAAATGTCATGTAACAATTTAGCGAAAATGCCTAAAAAGGACACACACACACTACTCAAACGCGTTATTCTCTGGAAGCCATGACATCGAGTAACCCATTTAGCATTCAACGTGTAAATCCAATTTATTGCATGTGATGCCCTTGCCCACTTCCTGTTCTTCTTTCATGGGACCAGCGTCCACGCCAACGACAGGCTGGTGCTCAAACTCATTCATAGCAAACCTGCTGCTTTACGGATGGTTTATTACAAAAGGGTTTTTGCAGAGCGCCCCCCCGACGAGGCATGCGCGCTGGAGACCCTTCAAACTGCACCATCGGTGCTGTTCAGTCCAAAGGCAGTGCTTATGCTTGTGTGTCTTAATGTATGGTGTCCTATTTTTAATACGCAAGAGAAAATTCATTCAGATTTATATTATAGATTCAAGTTCATATACACACAGAAGTAATAAACACACTTTAAGTGTAAAAGTCATATAACTGCGGAACATTGCTAAGATATCCCCCCAAAAAGTTCTGATTTGTCACTCCACTTTTTTTCCCCCAATTAACTCAATTAAAATTTGATCAGTTCAAACATAAAAAAAAAAAAGACTAAGTGGACAAACCAAAACATTTTGGGCCCTTATTACCATTGCCACAATGCTACAAGAAATTAAGCTGTATAAAAAAAAATTATAATAATAAAAAAAATAAATAAAAACTCTCCGTTAACAACCACAATGACTCCTGGATCAATTAATTATGCGACCGATTTGCAGACAACTGATCAATATCAACATTAAGAACGACGAGAACAACGATTATCTACTCTAACAAACTGTTAAAGTTAACCACAAAAAAACATTTATATTAAACTCTTACAAATCGGATTTGAATCTTATGTATAAATGCATAAAAGAAGGGAGAGTGCTGTATGTTGCAAGCCTAGCCTATCAGACGGCGCGTTAGCGCTACGTCTGGAACTGTGCAATGGCCATACCTTTCAACCCTGTAAAATAACTATCCGAATAAGACGCATGTGTTTCTGGTCTTGCCACAGGCAGAATGGCACCTGCACCAAGCCCTGTTTGCCCAGGTCCGACAACCCCAACAGTCACAGAGGAGACCATGGGTAATGCTACTGCTACACAAAACCATCAGCTTATGAAAGCCTGTTAGATCATCAAGTGGAATATGATTATAGAGCTGTAAATATTTATATATATTTTTATATATCTATGTGTGTTAATATAAAAAAAGAAGAGGAATTTACAGCAGTTTGCTCCTAGATTTCCCTTTACAATTCAGTGGCCTGCCAATGGCGCAGGTTTGCTCACACTCAGTGTATATTACAAATGAAAAAGACATTCAAAATCAAAACAAGAAATGAAAAGTTAAAAATGGCTCAATTTGATTTTTTTTTCTCTGTGCATTGGAGGCCAAAAGCCTCTCAGTGCAGGACTGCTGGTAGAGGTTGATTCTTCTGAGGCCGACCAATTTCGACTGGATTGAAAGATGGCCCCCTGGCTTCAGAACTGCTTTGCTGCAGACAAAGACGCGATAGAGAGAAACGGGAAGAGGAAGAGAGAGAGAGAGACAGACTGAAGAGGGAGTGTAGAAGTGCGTCTCCTGCTGGTTGACATCAGGCGAAGTACATAGTGTGCTGGGTATCATAGTGAATCTGGACCGCCTTAGCCAGGGCCTGAGGGTCTCGGCCATTACTCTGTCCTGATACGTGACTGCCCTCAGCACTGCGCACAGGAAATGATACAGAAAGCATTAAAATTCATTCGTTAACTTTATAAGAATGTACCAGGTTAATAATGATATACTAATAACCTGTCATGGTCTTTGTCCACTAAGTGGTAGCGGGCACGGAACGCCACAAGCCGGGCATAGTAGGCTGGTGCGGGGATAGAGACGGAGCGGGTGCAGCGCACATAGGTGTGGCAGAGCTGGTAAGTCAACAGTTGCAGTTCGTCAGCCGTGAAACAGTTGTCATCCCACAAGACGTGATAGTGAGAGGGACGGCTTGTGCCCTGTGAGAAGGAAATGCAAATGTGTGAATCTTGAACGGACAAACGGATAAATTAACAAATAAGCAACTGGGCTGTGACTCACCTGGATACCAGCATGGCTGCACAGGTAGAAGTCAAACTCTGAGGGGTGTGTAATGGTGCTGTCCACTGTAGTGCCTGCTGGGACATTGCCACTCTTCCCGACCTGAGTCAAAGAAATTTGTATACAAGATTTAGAAGAGAATGCAATGAATCTTTCATGTTGATTTTAAGATTAACAAAATGTCCTATAAAACAAGATTTTGTGATGCTTTGTTTATATAACAGGTGCGTTGCTCTAGGTTGTCCACCCACATTGAAATCTCATATTTTGCTTCACATACGCCAGTACTTTAAACATTGAGCAAATGTCTGGCTCTGCACAGTCTACTACGCATATTCTGACTATGAACCACCCACTTAGACAGTCAGAAACGACAAACCACAGTTTTTGTTTTAATCAAAGGTGAGGCAGTTTAAAGGATGGAAAACAAGCAAAAACACTCTGAAGCAGTCTTATTAAACAGTTAAACACAGTTTCCCCCCAAAAAAGTTTAAGTTTTGCCACTTTCAGTGTTAAGATTAAGAACACTACTGTTCAAAAGTGTGGGGGTAAGTTTTTTTTGTTTTTTTTCCAAAATCAAATTTCTGAAACTTTCTATTAAAGCAAAGAATCCAGAAAAAACATTTTACAAAAATATTAAGCAGCTCAACTGTTTTTAACATTGATAAATGATTTGTTGAGCAAATCAGCATATTAGAATGATTTCTCAAGGAACATGCGACACTAAAGACTAATGAAATGGCTGCTGAAAATGTTACTGTATTTGATCAAATAAATGCAGCCTTGGTGAACAAATAACTTATAACTTACAGTAGATTTATAAAAAAAACACAACTTACCCTCTCTGCTTTGTCAGAGCAAAAGAGTCGAGTGTGGTGACGTTTCTGCACTACAATGTAAGTGATTCCTGGTCTGTAGTCCTCTTCTAGACTGATGCAAGCTTTCCTGATGGCGATCAGCTCTGGCCAGGCAACCTGCACAAGACAATGAACAATATTAATTAATTAGAAGAAAAACTGAACATGTAATTTGTCCATCTCAAAATCACATTTGATTTCATTTAATTCAACTGAAATCAGTCAATGCATCTTCTCCGGATGACTCACCTGCTTCATCTGGCCCTCTGAGACTCCTCCGCGGTAGTAGATGATGCGTGTGGGCTTGAATCGGGTAGACTTGTAGAACTGAATGAGGAGCTCTCGCACCATGTTGGTGAGATCCTGGATGACTTCCTGGCTGTAGAACTGTTCCTGGGACAGGTCCTGGCGTGAGGTTTGCACTCGCACGGTGGCACAATAGCGGCTGGGGTGCCCATCCATGCTTCCCACCACAGCCGCAATGGACGGTTTCTTCCCATCGCCCGCAGGTGGGTGAGTGACATCGGCCCCCAAGAAGATGACCGGCTGCTGGAACACTGAGGGCCTGATGGAAAGCAAACACAGACATATGAAAGAGCAGAACAGAAGTTTCCTTCCTTTGTTCAGGGAATTTCCAGGTTGACAATGCATTAAAGCTCTTTAAAATTGCCTATGATTGTCAGTCCTGTTGCTAGGTGACATGGTTATTTTTTTTGAATGGACTAAAAATGAACAATTTATGAAAGCATTGTTTGGGCCCTAGTCTAATCATGTAGATTTAACATTACAATCTGAAATCACAATGGGGAAAAACACCTGAACTAAAGATGACATCTAAATCTTTTTGTAGCACTTTATTTGAAGCCTTTATGTATAACGCATTTCATGGTAAATGATGAATACCTACTGTTTGTAATTGATATATGTACATATACACATACAGTGGGTACGGAAAGTATTCAGACCCCCTTAAATTTTTCACTCTTTGTTATATTGCAGCCATTTGCTAAAATCATTGAAGTTAATTTTTTTTCCTCATTCCTAAAAATGGCTGTCCACCAACGTTTACCGTCCAACCTGACAGAACTGGAGAGGATTTGCAAGGAGGAATGGCAGAGGATCCCCAAGTCCAGGTGTGAAAAACTTGTTGCATCTTTCCCAAAAAGACTCATGGCTGTATTAGATCAAAAGGGTGCTTCTACTAAATACTGAGCATTTTTCAGTTTTTCTTTTTTAATAAATTTGCAAAAATGTCAACAATTCTGTGTTTTTCTGTCAATATGGGGTGCTGTGTGTACATTGAGGAAAAAAATTAACTTAAATGATTTTAGCAAATGGCTGCAATATAACAAAGAGTGAAAAATTTAAGGGGGTCTGAATACTTTCCGTACCCACTGTACATACTCTCACCTCACCATAAACTATCCCTAGTCCAAAACCCACCTTTGATGTGGCACCAGCACATTGTTGATGCCCCCTAGTTTGGCGTTGATCTTTAGACAGAGATTGGACAGCGTCTGAGGGGACGTCTTCACCACATTCTTCACCTGAACGCACTGAGTGGCCATTCCTAACAGAGTATCTCCCACACGCTTCACTTCCGCTGGAGAGGCACAAAACCACTTCAGCATCACAGTGTCAAATTCTCTGACTATTGTTGTGCTTCATCATTAAAGGAGCTCTCTTTACCATACACTGGTGTTTTCCCAGGCAGAATGACCACAATAAGCTGTAGTCCCACATAAGACATTTTGAGATGCTTGAACATTGGTTCCACGCTGTCTGCACCCTGGGCGTACTTGCAGAAGCAGGGCTGGCCTTGGATGGGCATCCCTGCGTCCTTGGATATCTTGCGCAGCTGGTCAGTGAAACTCCTTCAAATACACACACACACACAAAAATAATCTTTAACCATGCACTTCTGGTTTTGAAAATGTTTGAAAAAGCTTTTAGAATTAAATCCTTGTCAAAACTGTAAATTGTAACAAATTTTTTAAAAATTCCAAAATGAAAGGTTTATAATAAGTCTTCTAATTAAAATAATTTAATCATGCATCTTTTAAATATACTAAAACAGACTTAAAGAAAATTTATAAATTTATATATATAAAAAAAAATAGTTGAGAGCAGTCCTTACTTCAGCAAATCCTCTCTGCATTGTTTCTGAGGGGCGAAGCAGGCCACGGCCCACACTTTGATCTCTATACCCGCATAAAACTGCTTTCCCCTCATGTCCCAGACACCCTGGTTTGGTGTGGCCACAGTCTTGTTCTGGGGAGAGAGTTCCTACACTCTTAGTGAATCCTTCGTTCTCATCACGAGATACACATTCTACCCAATACCCTACACTGCCAACCCCATACCCACCAACCCCACCCAACTCTAACAGGCCTGGGCTAATAGCAGAAAGCAGACTATGCAGAAAAGACCCACCACCAACCTCCCCATTGGTTAAACACACAACGTTTTAATATTATAAAATTTAGTCTAAAACTGCAATACAAATTAGCTGTAAAGGTTAAACATGAAGCAAGTAAATTAATGCAATAACACAAAGCATTTATTCAAGGAGGAATGCATCTGAAATATCAATACAGGAGTTATTTTAATTTAAAAAAAAAAAAAAAAAAAAGAACTGCTCTAGTGTTCAGGGCTTATGAAATACTCTTAAAAGGTCCACAATAATAATTCTAAATTAAACCGGTTTAAACGCAATGAAAAAAATACTATATTTTATTACATTTTTATAATAAAATATATAATATAAAATAAAATAATATTAAATAATATATAATATAATTAATATAATATAATGTAATGTAATGAAAGGCCCTGAAGACTAGAGCAACTGAAAACACATTAAGATTAAAAGCACTCATAACAAGCACACAAACAAGATGTTAGAGATAATAGTAACTCAATTTTCAGTTGAGCTCATTAACAAATTATTTACAGTGATAGTATTGACTGCACCCGTACTTAGTGCACAGTATAAGTTAGTGACAGTGATTAAGAAGAATTTATAAAACAAAGACATGAGGTTGCAGATCTCTTTACATACAACAGTTTCTCCAAATTAACCAAAACAACTGGTACTGTTTGCAAAGAGAGAGCAATCCCTCAAGAGGTTGTTATTTCACAGAAATGAAGATAAGTCTCTACTGGTAGGTTAATTTTAAACAAGAAAAATAAATTCTACCAATGATGCTTCTCTACACAAGTAACATCTCACATCAATAAATGAGATGTGTGGAAGTTTACAGGAGTAATTATAATGATCTAATTGCATTAGATCCTGAGATGTTAAAATAGATTGTTGATGATGCTGAACAGCATTGGCCAAGTGGAGTCTGATCATCATTCCTTTGGTTAGTCCACTCATCCCACGACAACACACACACACACACACATCCCCACGTACACACATGCCATTGTTCCCAGCCCACCCGTACTCACCCTGCACCCGAGCCCCAGTACTCACCCTGCTACAGTCCCTCCCAGTGTCTGTACTCACCCGGCCCCCATACTGAAGCATGGGCGCTGGGAGGACCCGCCCAGTCACCTCTGTCATGTCATTGTGCACAACGATGCCGAACTCTTTTAGGTAAGGGTCAGGCCCGCCCACCATGCTGTTGCTTTTGACCTAAAGGAATAACAGGAGTTTTAGTGGTGAATTTTTGTTAAAACAAAGTGATTGGCTCTTTTAACTATATGGCTGGACTTCTCTTTACTGTACTGCTGCCATATTGAGTATTGTGATTTATCTTACTCATTTTTCAACAGGTGCCACTCACCAGTCTGCTGATCTCTTCCTGCCTGTCTGGGGCTGAGCGGGCCGTAGCTTTAATCATGGTCGAGGTCTGGTTATCTGTTAGTTTCTTTATACAGCGCTGTCCTGCCACTATGTTACAAACCTTTATGGAGGATACAAGAAAGGATTCAACGAGTGCCAAGTCAAATCAAATTCATTTCTGTACATGTGAAAGCTTGGAAAACACTTTAAATGATGTGCATGTCTCTTACCTCAAGGGGTAGATAGGTGTGCTTCTGTTCTTGCCCCACCTGGAGGCAGGGCAGGTGGGGGTATTTGAGCTGCAGGCTGTACTTTTGTTTGAAATACTGGGCAACGGTGCACTCCATAGCTTGTCCATTCTCGAGCTGCAAAGGAAATCTGTAGAAATGTGCAGAAAATAAGAGAAAAATCACTGGTGGGTATAACATAGTATTTTTTTTAAATAGTATTAAACGCTTAACTATAGTTTACAGCAAATTTTGCAAACACTGGTAAAAATGTAAAAAGCACTAACGTCTGATGGCTGGCTGGGCGGCGTGTGACATTGCACACACGGTACTTCCTCTTCATCTGGCCACAGTGTGTGACCTCCACTTTCAGTCCTAAACACACAATGATATTAACTCAGCAATTCACTTCATAACCACAATTGAAGCAGTCTTGGCCCTTGATGTGGTGCAACATATACCACCGTTCAAAAGATTGGGGTCGGTAAGACTTTTTAAAAGAAATTAATACTTTTATTCATCATTGAAATTTTTTTTATTATTATTATTAAATTGATCAAAAGTGACAGTAAAGAGATTTATAATGTTACAAAAGACTTCTATTAAATAAAAAAAAACATCACAGTTTCAACAAAAATATTAAGCAGCACAACTGTTTTCAACACTGATAATAAAGCTGCATTCACGTCCTGTCTAAATTACCATAGGCTCAAGATTGACAACATGTAACGTTCTACACGGAGATGCTCACGTCCTTGGACTAATGCTTTCCTATGGCAACATTATCAACTCCTAAACATAGCGCTTAAATGAATCTGCTGAAGTCAGGTGGTACTGCGGTCACGTGGTACAAGTTGTAGCTCTCAGAAAACGCCCAGCCTACGAGAACGTGAACGATTTTTAGTTTAGTTGAAATCTTGCAATTGCAGTAATTCCGTCATGGTGTAAACGTAAGAAGCGTTTTTTGAGCACTAAATAGGGCTGTCGTTTTGAAGAAATTTACCTTGCGGTGATTTTGAGTGGCTCAACAGCACAGTATCCAATATTATTGCATTTATTTATTTATGCATGTATTGCTTGCTTACTATATAAATAAGCTTGTTGGGCTATTACTATTCATGGGTACCGAAGACATCACTTCCACTATGGTCGCCATCAAGATAATGTTAGCTAGCTTACTACACAATCAGAATTTAATGTTAATTTAGATAACATTAGCACAATTGATAATTAATCATTCTTTTCAGACAAATCATTGTTTTATGAACGTAGCCGTCCGATGGAGGCTTTAAGACCTTGAAGAATCCTCTGCCGGCTGGTCGCTCCCACTTCACAACGAGCGGGACTCGCACTAATGGCAATTCCCTTTACAGTCCGTTTTTTGATTTCAGCAAATCATTTTGGGCGAAAGCAAACAGCGTGATTATTAATCATAAGCCCAATATCCAGCAAGCCAAGAAAACATGCAATCTACCTGAGGGAAGACGTCTTTCACTATTGTAAGTAAATGCTGTTAAAAAGAGAGAAAAAGAGACACATTTTAAAAATTTTACCTTCCAGTGTATTCTTAAACTTGGATCTCATTATTAAAGCACAAATAAATTCAAGTACCAAAATCAGCCCACACTCCAAGTTATCTTTAATTAAAAAAATATGCATTTTCATCCATTCATAGGCTAAATGGCTGCAATAACATTATTTAATTTTGCCATCGTTTAAAAAAAAAAGTACTGACTGACGTTTCAGACTTTCAGTTCTTATGCTTTCAAATTTTATGCCATATATATGTATGCAGGCTATGTCATTTTACTACACCACTTGGGCAGTCACAAATCACATGGTACAATTTACTCAGGCAGATGGTTTGTGTGTAACCTGTGACATTTTTTATGACATTACAATTCTTTTTAGATTCATTGTTCATAGGTTAAGCAAAACAAATTTTATTATTTTTGAAAACCTTTTATACACAACTGCAGACACGTAAATTTCATACACTATGTGGTACAGTACAAATATTTTAGCATCCCTTCTCCTTTAAAGAATCACAATTGTCTCTTATTTTCCTTTTCTGAAGTTGGCAAGCCTAGCTGCCAGTGGTCCCTTCTGATTGAAGACAACCTTTTATTTCGCCGATCTAACAACTTTGAGATTGAGTAAAATTGTAGTTCAGGGTTTCTCTGACGACTGTTGTTACAGCTAACAGCACAACATATCCCGGGCATATTGTAACCAAAAAGCATAACGGCTAATGCTAATGCTTCTGCTTTGGCAGTACGTGGGCAAATTTTTTTTTAAATGGATGTCAATGGAGGAGAGGCTTCACTAAACAGCTTTTTATAGGAAACAGCTTATTTAATGAATCGACAGCCTATCGGCAAATCTTTAACTTTTTACACTAATAATACTTTTGGAATGACCTATTTTTAGTTTACACCTAAAAAAGTTTTATAAGAGAAGACACTGACTTTTTGCGACAGGTGGGATTCAGCTTACAGCACTTCTCATTCATTCATATGGTATCCGTAAACGGCAATTGAGTGTCGAGCAACTCTGACTGAAATTCAATGACGTCAAGGCTTTAATGTGATTGGTTATTAAAGCACACGTGATCCAAGTTGACCGCTGTGCTTTCTCCAAAAGTAAGTAATACAGACAGTCAAACAAAGTTTTGCTATCACGATACCACGTTATTGATAATACTGTTACATCCCGATAACCAATCACACACGATTCTGTTGAGCTTATAAATGCAGTGGCCAATCAGAGGCGTTCAGATGAGTTATTGCTGAAACGCCGGTGTTTTGTTCAGTGCGTGCGCTCTAGGGGTGCAACGGTTCAACTTACTCACGGTTTGGTTTGTATCACGGTTTTAGAGTCACGGCTTCGGTACGGTTCGGTATGTGCTATGTTCAGGGGAAAAACTATACTGTCAAATAGAAATAAAGAAAATAAGAACAAATAATCTAACTACAAGCAACAGCACAAATAAATAAACAGTGAAAAAAAGATACAAATAAAATAAACAGTGCTTTTCAGGTTTTTTTAGGTAGGTCTAACAGTTTTTAGGTACAGAAATTGAATAAA